CAAGTGAAGTTGAAACCCAACAAACCGAAAGAAGCTCATCGGTCATTGGGACTGTCTGATGTGAACCGGAAATGTCCGACTGAGTCCCGCTCGAAAAACTCATTGCCAAGTTGCATAGACAAAGTAAGTCGGGATGCAGGCAAGGATCCCCAACGCCGCCTGCCAGCTGCATGGAACATGAACCAGAGCCGGTCTCCATCACATCTCCAAAAAACTCTGGGCACCCCCACCACACCGGCACCTTGGAACTGGGCGGTTGTCTGCCTAGAGAGCAGCAATGTGGCTGATAGAGAAACAAAGGAGGTAAATTCCAACCTACTAGCGATGGCATCCAACCTACTAGCGATGGCCTCCAGCCAAATAGAAAGACAAAGGAGTCCGATTGCAAGTGGTCAGTCAGCCCACCGAGCATCGTGCCCAAGTCTTCGCGTAACGTGACTGAACATGTCGCTGGAGCAAATGCTCAAGTCAGAACAAAACTGCAAGAATAAACTAGGAGTGATGAATGCAAATAGATCTGTCAGAGCGAATTCCCTGTGCTTGCGCATATCTTGTCTCTCCAGATAAAAACATGATGAAACATGCAATCATCAACTCGATTCACGATTCTCTTATATAGATCTCCACCCTCAGAGCTCAGTAGGGCCACCGCAACCAAACATCTTGTTCGGCTGATGCATATCATGATCTTTAAAAGCTTCAGAGCCAACAGCCACACCGCCCATGTGGTCAAGGTCATAGTCTCAACAGCTTTAGAGTAAAGGAGCAAAAGCAAGAATTTGATACCAGAACCTTTCACTTTATACCAGAACCTTTCACTTTACATGCGAGGGTTGTTTTGATTCACGAAAAGCAGGACGTTAGTGTGAAGCCAAACCAACGGAAATGCTGAGAAAGAACACTGCAATCTGTGGCTCGTGGGCCTCTCTTTTGTGGCCAATGTCGCCTGTTGGCCAGCAACCACTCACTGAACCTGCGATTGAAGTTGCTCGTCAAGGAGCTTCGCCAACTTGCCCATCTTGCCCT